TACACAGTTCCTTAACTGTAACTCCAGGAAATCTTTTGACAACTTCCTTAGATCTAGTGATTTTGACATTAGTTTCTTAGAAAGTACTTGGTCAGTTTCCTCACTGAAGAGAAAAAGCTCTTTCTGGTCAAAAAGTATGTGTGCCTTCCTCCTCCCAGCAGATGCTTTTCCGTGGAGTTCATGTAACACCGCACCCCTCCCAAGAAAATCTTCCCTGGTGGCCACCCAGTTAATGTTTCCTGTCATAAAGTCCTACAGATTCCAATATTCTTTCATTTCAGTCATCATGTTCAAATAATGAGCTCAGTAGCTACATGAGAACACCACCTCTATTATTCTCTGCCATATCCCAGTGTTTCGCATTAGCTCCTGGCACATAGAAAGTAAGTGCTCAACAAATATCTGTTGAATGACTAAGTGAAAAACATGACAGTTTCCAGCAACATCGACTACATAATCAGTATGGTCTTGAAGTTTGCGTGCTGATCACAACATGGGCAAAGTCTTAAGAAGATTTTTCTAAAATGGGTTATCACTATCATTCTATACCCATAGTTTATAAAAAAAAAACTTAAATATTGAAGTACACTAAATAGTGAAGGCATCTTACCTAGGACTAGAAGGCTAAATGTAGTAGAACTCTTAAATAAAGCTCCTGTGATCTACTGTGTTGGCAAGCAGTTTGTCCATAGCTAATTCACAGAGTAATCTGCGGTTTTAATTTCTGAGGCTTTCACTGATAAGGTTTCATCAACTTGGCTCTTGTGTCATTATAAATGCTTCACTGGATCAGTTAAGAGGTCCACTGAACTGCCTGCATAAACTCCACACACAAAGACGTCTCACATTATTTAAGTCTCATAAAATAACAATTTGACATAGATTTGCAATTCTATAACATGAACAACAGTGACTTTACCAAGCTATTACATTCATGAAACTGCTATCTCTTTCTATTGATGCCTCATATCATGTATCTTAGAATTAAATATGGCATATTTAGGCCCCTTAAACTCTGTGGGTATATGTTATAGCTTGTGTCTAGGTGTCCCCTGAAAGCCTCATGCAGGCATGGGGGTGCTTCTCAGAAGTGACTGGATCTAGAGTGTGTGATGCTAGGATTAAGGGGATGTGATTACTAAATCCGTCCACTGGCAGGTACGGCACCTGCCCTAAACCCAATACCCTAGAGAGAATATAACAGGAGCAGAAAGAAACTGCTAAGGTCCTTGCTTGCTTTGCTAGCTTCTGCTCACCATGAACTGTGTCTCTTCTGTGACACATCTCTGTCATCCCACTCTGCCTTGGAGCCTGCCGGTCATGTACTGAAAGCTCGCAAACTGTGAACTAAATAAATCTTTCCTCCTTTTAACTTTGGGTGTTGAGTATTTTGTCCCAGCAACAAGAAAAAGTAACTAAGACAGTATATAAGGCTTATTTTAGGATACTGCTACTCAAAGTTAGGTCTGCTGAATAATAGCAGCAGCATGATACTCCCTCCAAAATAAACTGGTATGCTGACATGGTGCCATAAAATTAACTCTCTCTCTCTCTCTCTCTCTCTCTCTCTCTCTCTCTCTCTCTCTCCCAAAACTGACATGTTGAAACCTAACAGCCTAATTTGATGTTATCTGGAGACAGGACCTTTCAAAGGGAATTAGAGTTAACCAGGGTTACGAAAGTAGGACCCTCATAATGGTATTAATACCCTTATTAAGAGATGCCAAAACCTGAATCTCAATCTTTCCTCATCTGCTTCCTCCCTTCCCCAATGTGAGGAGGCAGCTATCTACAATCCAAGAAGCAAACCCTAGATTCTACTCACACTGGCACCCTGATCTCAAATTTCTAGCCCCCAGAACTGTAAGAAATACATTTCTGTTTTTCACTGATTCCATCTCACTCCAGAAAGAATGACTATCTTCAAGAAACTAAATATCATAACAAATGCTGCAAAAGGTGCATTTAAAAAAAGAACCCTTCTTCATTGCTGGTGAAAGTGCAAACAGGTACAACCCCTATGGAAATCAATATGGAGGTTCCCAAAAACATTAAAACTAAAAATTCCATTTGACCCAGCTACCCTCCTTCTGGGTATCTTCCCAAAAGAATTAAAGACATTATAATATAGTGATACATGCATGCCCACATTTATAGCAGCAAAACTCACAATAGCTAAACCTTAGCAGCAAGATGTATGTCCATCAACACATGAATGGATAAACATGCTATATTTTTACACAATGAAGTATTACTGTGTCATACAGGATAAATTTGAGTCATTTGTAGGAAAGTGGATGCACCTTGAGACCATAAATGTTAAGTGAAGTAAATCAGACACACAAGCTTAAATGTCACACAATTTCTCTTATATGAGAAACTCAATATACAAATAAACTCCAAAATAAAAAACAATGAAAAAGAGAGAGGTTACTGTAATATGCCATGGGCAATATATCTGAATATGTGCCTTGATTTAGTATAATCATTTAAGTGTTTTACATATTTTTGGCCTGTTAGTGTAGATATTAATCTGTTTATGATAATTAGCCTGAGAAAGCCTTAAAATAAATGAATAAATAAATATGATGCTGGCAAAATAAGAAACTCCATTGTTTCAGTCACCCAGCCTAAGGTATTTTGTCATGGTGACTAAGACACCAGGTACCTGTCTGAGAAGTCTTGGGCCCTGCCTTATACTTGCTGAATCAGAATCTGCATTTTACAAGGTGGTCAAGTGAGGAGCACATTTGCCATATGCACAAATGAAATTTGAAAAGCTCTGTTTGGGAAACTACTTCAAGATGTAACAAAAATCACCTGAACATATCAATCCCACAAAGCAAGAAATATATATATATAAAACAGGACTTGAACTCATGACCTTGCACTTGCCAGGCAGATGCTCTGCTGCTGAGCTAATCCCCAGTCCAAGAATTCTTTGCTCTACCAAATCGAAGTGCTACATAGGTCCCACCAGTCTTGGAAAATGAAATCGACGACCCACGATGAAGTGATATTGAGGGCTTTGCCTGCTTTCTTTGTAACTGGATTCCACCTTTGAGGACAGAGATACTGTGTCAAGATAGAAGCAACCTGACAGAAGACAAGCAGTTCTCCAACAGCCATTCTTCATTACAGTAAAAAACTACCCCAGCCCACCCCACCCTGAAATCACATATGCATACATGCATGAAAGAACTAACATTAACAGGAACTTGAAATGAGCAAAAACCACCACCTTATCTCCTGAGGCATTTAAGTCGGCTCATGCAAATTTTCACCTCTTGTGGTAGAGGACCAACAGACCCTCCTTTTCCTCTTCAGTTGTTTTTTTCAGATTCCCCAGTGCCACAGTGACAGTTTAAGGGATCAGGAGAAATGGCATATATTCTCTCCTTGAGGTTTTTTCTGCTCAATTCCAAGTACCTATACTATTATTGCTAGATCTATGTCTAGAAGTAGGTAAAGTTGTGCTTCATGTTATGTTTGTTTTTCATAGTATTGGGGATTGAATCCTTTGCACTGAGCTACATCCTCAGCCCTTTTTGAGACAGGCCATCAGTAAATAACTAACTTCCCCGGGCATGGCTAGAATTTGGAATCCTCCCACCTCAGTCTCCCAGTGCTGGGGTTACAGTACTGACGGTACTTGCACCCTTTCCACTAACAGTTACAAATACCACACTGCATGACAAACGGTTAAGATTACTACTTTTACTTTCGCAAACCCCTAAAGAAAATTGAGATTTAGCCCTACATCTATCCAGTGGGGGAGGGGACCCAACGAGGTTACATATTCACAAAGGCTCACAGAGGTTGCTCAGTGAAGACCAGACCACATCCAATAGCTTTACTAACCAAAGCACATTAGAACCAGGCTGGGAACACCACAGGCACTGAACAAAGATTTATTGTACTGGGAGGCATCTATTGTACTTCAAAAGTAATTTCAAAGGCATACTAGAATAGAAATTTGGTCACAGGAAGTCAAAAACTGACTGTGAGGTGAAATGAAAATAGCAGATTTAAACAACTCTTCCACAAGCCTGGTTACAAAAAAGAACAGAACCATGCACATGGGTTGTTTTCATGTGAAAAACTTGAGTACAATTTTAAGGGAAGAATAAACAAGTGTACGTTCATCTTGTTATTTCTTTATTGGATTGATAGTTTCATCCACTCTTCAGTCAGACTTTTTTTAAAAAATAAACAAGGTGTCAGTTCAGAGTTCAGGCTGGCCTTGAATGCAAAGCAATCCTCCTGCCTCAGCCTCTGGAGTGCTGGTTGGATTATAGGCATGTACCACCACACCCAGACTACACTTTTTTTCTTGAGCACCAACTATATGTGAGGAGCTGGTATGCCACGAATACTTAGGTGAACAAAACTAATCTCAAGGAGACTGAGTTTCCCCATCTTGAATCTTAAACAAACTCCTTTAGTATCTGGAAGGAAGAAAGTGCTCCCAGGCTCCTTGCAGTCAGCCAGGGCTCATCCACATCATGCCTGTGAGCATACCATGCAGTTTATGAGATCGTTTTAGAAACAAGATAGTTTTTGAATTTGCCCCTCCATCTTAGAAAGAAGACATTTTAGAGACTCCCCATCTTGTTCCTCATCTTGTGCCATGCAGACACAAGCTTGCTCTACAGGACATATCCAGAAAGTAATCTTACCTTCCTCCTTATTCAGTCAACCACCTCAAAGAGTAGATGGCTCCTCACATTTCCCCCTCCTCAGAACTTGGGTTCAGAACAAGCAATTTCCTGTCCCACTTTCCCATCCCTCAGAACACAACATAGCCCTGAGGCCAGGAGCTCACCTGAGCGCATGCTGCCCCCTGCTGCCCGCACAAGGACATAATCCTCTTTTCCTTTTTTTCTTTGTATAGGGAAATGAACTCAGGACCTCCCACTTGCCAGGCAGGTACGTAGGCTATATCTCCAGCCCCCTCCCACCTTTTGCTCCTATTCCTTTGAAAGAAGAAAGCAACAGAATGCCCCCACAAAAGTCAAATGTCTTTATTTTATATATAAAAAAAATTTTGTACAGTTTTAGTTTCTATGTTTCAGAAAAAAAATTCCTAAAATTGCCATAATGTTTAGATCCACTGCAAACTGTAAAAACAAGCTTTTTATATATTAAAAAAATTTACATTTTACAATTTTCTACATGCATGCACAAGGTCTCAGCTCTGTAACCAAAAAAGAAAAGAAAAAAAAATAGAAACAAAACAAAACAAAAAAAATCTAGATCCAACAGTGGGAAACTCTACACTTACAGTCTCACTTGGAAGGGACTCAAAAAGTCCCCTTCTGCACACAACACTCACACACCAGGTCCGAACTCATCAGCAGATACTGCCCCGTGGGGAAGGCAGAGGAAAGAGAAAACAGACGGACGGATACCACAAAGGGACAAGGGAGCTCATCCAGGCCCAGAACCAGGGAGAAGCACAAACCCTGGGAAATGGATGTTTCCAATGAGAAAGCTTTCAGGGATCCCAGCATCTATTCGTCACGGGTATTGTGCTGGGGTTTGCAATGGAAATGTTGAAGTATGCTGGGGAGGCAAAAAATCAAGCCACGAAGTAGAGGGGAATGGGAAGAAGTCAGAGACCAAAGGGACATAAATCAGAATAAACACAAGAACACAAACGCTGGTGTGGGAGAAAGACAGGGACCAGTGGGAAGAGAGGCAGAGGGGCGAGGTAGGTGAAGGACTGAGGCACCGTGTGGTGGTGTGGAGGGAAAGGGGGGCGAGCATTCCAAGGCCCGGGAGGGGATGAGCCAGCTTGCCTCGTAGTCATAGAAACAAGAGGCTGGAGGGAGCCAGCGTAGCATCCCCTGGGGGTGGGGGGCACGGGAGAGACAGAAACCCAGTGAGCGGTGGGACGGCCAGTGGGCAAACAGCTCAGAGGGCCTGAGTCGGCTAGCCGTCCCCAGCAGTTCACAGCATGAAGACAACTTCCCATTACAGGAGAAGCAAGACACACACACACACACACACACACACACACAGAGCCATACGCTGGCCAACTCATCCTGACGTTTTAAAAAATAATAATAATAATAACCAGAGAAGACGAAGATACCACAGTTCTGACGCAAAGAACCAAAATGCTACCATTCTCAGTCACAGCCCTTAGTGCTTAAAAAGAGAGAGTTGGGAAAACACATTTCTCTTGTTTCAGGAAAAAAGAATGAAAAAAATCACAGTGATTAAAAACATGGCAGGTTCTTAAAATAAACACTCCCCCGCCCCTAAATCTAGGGCAACAACTAAGATCCCATTTCCTTTATTTCTGCCCACCCCAACCCACTCCTCAGACGACACACCCTATTCTTGCCCACCAAGGCAAAGACCCCAATCACCATCCAGGCCCTGTTCTCCAGGATAGTGAGGTATTTATGTGACCCAGAAGGGACCCCTCTGAAATCAGGTTCTTAAAGAAAAGATTGCTTTCCCAGGATGCCAAGGCAGGATGCATTTCACCAAGGCTTATTCAAGGACTCTCTCAGCCCTAGACCAAGGCTAACCTTCACTCAGCCTCTCCCTAAATCAGCCCGACAAGCCACTCCTATGGGGACAAGGTGAGCTCGGGCAGAGGAACCCCTAACCCCTCTCCCATGACCGGTGGTGGACAGAGATACCCTTTCAGAAAGGACAGGAGAAAAACCCTGATAGATTGTTAGGCTCTGTCACCCCCTGGGCTGCCCCTACAGAGTGGAAGCAGCCTCCCAGGGGAGAGACCAAAGGTCAGCCTATCCCAAAGTGTGCTTTGCAAGGCAAGTACCAGTAAATTTTCTAGGGAAAAGAAGGACCCATCAGGGGTACTATGAGTTATTTGGAGATCTGATCCAGGTGCAGGCTCCATCCCAGCCACCAAAACGGTCCTCCACATGGACCCTGGAAGGATGTATACTGGTATTTCCTTTTCTATTCCCCTTGGTGATAACTACATAATTTAAAGGAGTTTCAATTAAAAGGCTCAAATTGACTCTGAAAATTGACTCTGTACCAGTGGGCCACTGGATTTTGTTCAGAATGAGATCTAAACTATTGAGAATTTGGACTTGGTATAAAAGCTACGGAAGTAAAATGGGGTGAGGGGCTAAGAGCCCACAGAAGGCAATAATCTTGGTCCCTGACCCCAGTATAGCGCCCAGAGAAACAGGAAGAGAAGAGGAGGGGACCCTGGAAGGCCAAGGAAAAGTGACCCCTGAGGCAAAGAACTGGACTTAAGGCAGGGGACAGGAGGAGCTGGCTCCTCCCCCACAGAAATGAGGCAACAGGTCTCTGCAGCTGAGAGAAGCCAGCAAGCCCAGGGCGGCTGGTGCAGGAAGGAAAACCGTCTGTCAGGGTTGGCACACTGCTAAGTCTATCCAGGAGTCTACCTCCCATCCTTCACTGGGAAGAGTGGGAACAAAGGGGAGGCCAGGGTGAGTTCTGAGGGCAGGGGTCAAGGCAAGGGTCTTTCCCAACTCAGGGATTTGTCCCCTTCCTCTCAGGAGCTTTCCATGAAAGACCCTCAGGACCTTCTCCAGGGCCCTGTCAGAGGCGTTTCACCTCTGACCGCTGGCACCATGCGTGACCATGCAATCAGAAACAGCAGGTAGAGATTTCCAGGTAAAGGATGGGATCTTTCTTTGCTCTAGCATGAGTGGATGGGGGAGAGCAGCTGCAAGCAACAGTGCTGTGGGAATTCCTAACTATGTGGCAGGAGCATCTCTGCCCAGGAACTCAGGGTCTGTTACGGGTAGGAGAGGGGAGCTGCTGCCTTGGCAGAATTTGGCACTAGAGCTCTCTGGGTCATATCAGTGCCCCCAAGAGACCTGTCATGGACCACTGGAAAACATGCTACCAAAACTTGCGTTGTAAGTAGGGCTCAGGAGGGACAGGTACGTCAAGAGGGCCCTGTGTCTTTTCAGAAAGGACTGGCATCTGAGGAAAGCTGCAGGGAAGGGGAGAGACAGAGAGGCACTGATTCCTGCAGGGCCTGGAGTGATACAAAAACGAGGGGAGGGTTCCCCGGATACTGTCAACAGCAAGAAGGTCTCTCCAGGTTCACATGGGGTAAAATGAGGAAGAGGGAGAAGACAGGGTGAGGAGTAAGTCAATTCAAGTAAAAAACAAGAGCAAGAGGAAGAAGGGCAGTGGGGACTTGGCTGGGCCTGAGAATCAGGCCCCCTCCCACCCCACAGAAGCCCCAGCGTCTCCCACTCCCCTGCTGTCACACAGTCACACCGAGGTCTCCGACTGCAGCCTCATGACAAACTTGTGCGACTTGGGATCCACAAATTCCTCGGAGAGTTTGAAGAACGGCACCTTCTTGGTGCTAACCACCAGGCTGAAGTCCTGGCGTTTTAAGAGGAAAACGATGCCATCCTTAAGCCCATTGGTTACTGGCTCCTCGCTCACCAGTGTCCACTGTTTAGCCAGCCAGCGTTCCTTGTGGTACTGGATGGTGGGTCCAGCCGCCAGGTACCGCTCCAGGAAGGCCTAAAGAGAGGAGAGGGAGCTGCCTGGATACTGTCACCCACCACTCTTCCTCCCCTGGGCACAGCTTCCAAGGACATGTCCCCCGAGCACTCTCTATGCGTATGAATCAGTATCTGAGACTGTCAGTGCAGAAATTCCTCTGGAGATGAGGAAGACGATACCCACAGAAACCGTGTGGCTCCAGAGTCAAGACTGGAACTCAGCTCCCCAGCTCCCATCCTCTGCTCTTCTTGCACAGCCTGCATCTGGACAAGCTCCTCATCCATCTTTCCCGCACTATTTATATAGTTAGTGCCATGCAGGTGTGAGCTGGAAGGGGATTGAGCTCTCAGGGCAACATCATGTTCAGCCACCTGTTCACTAAGGACAGCTCAGCCAAAGCCATTCTAGGAAGCTGGCATCTGAGTTGAGGAGAGGGCAATCGTTAAAAGTGTGCATAGATCAAAGATCATCTGTGGAGGTAAAGGGGGCCAAGTGGGGAAAGGTGGGACTCTGAATGTGGAAATTCTGAAGTCCTTATGAAACTAAGAAATAGGTCTCAGCCAGCCCCAAATAGTTTGAGTGTTCACCTCCCTTATTTCACCCACCACCCCTAATTTCACTCTATGAGGACAGAGAAATGAGAAGAGAATATAAGAAGGAGGCAGAGATAAGAGAGAGGGAACGAGAGGAGAGGGACAGAGAGGAGAGGTCAAGGAAGGAGAAGGGAAAGAGGAAGCAGGCAGGAGCAGCAGGCCTACCTTGGGCGTCATGTCATGTGTGATGCAGAATTCAAGGTGCTGCAAGATGCTCTCCATGGTGTGGTAAGGCTGCTGCTTGGTGGTCCGAAGGTACTTCTGCATGGCACGGGCCATGGATGCGAAGATGGCCTGGGCTGCCTCCCGGGGGTCCATCACCTCCCTGGGGTTCTTCTGCTCCTCTTCCTGCAGCCGCTTAATGTGAGTGAAGGCCTCCTCCACGGCCACCACGAGCCTACAGGACAGAAAGGATCTCAGCCAGGTGCCCATTTCTCATCCCTCCTCCCATATATCAGCTCTGACAGCCACACCCCAAAAAGGTCGGACCTTTGTGCTCTTCTTGACCCCTGTCTAGAGCCAAGGGCTGGACTTATGTGGAGGGTTCCCCCACTGGGAATAAGAAACAGCTGTAGAGTTCAGTGAACCCAGGCACTCCAGACAAATCTAGTGTCAAACTCAGAGATGACTAGGAACTTTACTAGAGGAAGGAAAGACCAAGCATCCCACCAAGCCATAGGAAAAGCCTTCCTAAATAAGACCCCCAAGCCACACTTCATCACATCAAAAACTAACAGGGATGATTACAACAGAATGACAAGATTTCTGTTCAGCTAGCACAGCAATGACACAGTTACATCTGAAGGGAGTATGGCAATATAGGCAGCATCTAAAACCAACAAGGGATTAACAGCTAGAAAAAGAGGGCAAGAATTCCTTAGGAAAATAGGCAACAGACAATTCAGAAGAAAAAAAGACTAAAGAACACACAAGGCAGATGAGTGGGCTGCTGCCAGAGTGGGAACAGCCAGACCCAGGCCTCTCTCCATGAGTCAGCGCCATTCTCGGACTGCGTAGGGAGAGAAGAGAACCAGGCCTCACCAGGAAGCGATCCCCACCTGGAAACCATATCACTTTCATTGTTTTGCTGGGTTGGGTTTCATTCTCTTTTGTTTTGTTTGATTATGTTAAATCTGATGGCATAAGCAGCTATTTTTAAAAGGTAACAAGACATATTACAGGTTGCCATTTTGGATTTACTATTGGCTTATTTTGAAGTCGTTTATTGCATTCATTGTTTTGTTTCTATTATTTCTATTCTGTTGTGTTCTGTTCGATTTTTATCATATCAGAAGGTATCTGCAGCTATTTTAAAGATAAAAAAAGACATTATGGTAACTATTGTTGATATTGTAAGGTTTTGAAGTCCTCTATCACTTACACTGGTTTATTTTGATTGGTTTTATTTTATTTTCCCTAGTTTTATCCTCTTTAAAATAAAAAAAAAAGGAAAAGAACACACAGGGTAGTTACTGGCTGGTAACTAGAAAGATGCAAATTAAAATCTTAACAAGACACTACTTCTCCATCAAAATGGAAAAGTAAAATCCAAATACAGGTCAGACACTGGGAGTGCTCTGTAAGCTACTATGCAGAGATGACACCCACAGGATAAAAGGAACAGCAGAAAAAGGCAGTCAGTTTACACTGAAAGCACACAGGCACACAAACCAACATGAAATCTACACAAAGATATGTGTAAGTTTTAAGAAAATCAAACACACTGAAGTAGGAGCTCTCAGTGTGCATAGAGTGAGGATACAGATTGAAGGCGAGGAAAAAAATCAGATAAAGGACTGTGCAGAAGGGGCCAGGATATAACTTAGTGGCACAGCACCTGCCTGGTAAGTGCAAGGTAACCGGTACTGGGAGAAGAAAAAAGACCGAAGAAACCCACGTTGGCAGTGGTGAAGAGCTGAGATGGGTATGTAATACAGTTCTTGTGCCTGAATTCCAACAAAACAAAATAAAACCTATGTGGCTCAAGAGCAGGACTGATATGAGGTGCTGGGACAAGGAAAGGACATGAGGCCTACACCTTGGTATCCAGAAACCCAGGGACATGGGACCTCCAACGAGCTTAGGACGGCTTCTGGGCTGAGTACCTGTGGGCAGGCATACACAAATAAGTCTATAAAAGTTTATTCTTTTGTTTCTTCTGTATTAACTGAAGCCAGAGCCTTTGCACTGAGCTACATCCTCAGTCTGCTTTTTTTTTTTTTTTTGAGACAGGATTTTACTAAGTTGTCTAGGCTAGGCTCAAACTTATGATCCTCTTGCCTCAGACTCCCAGAATGCTGGGGTTAATTTTGCTCCCCATAAGCTTCTCAGTTGAGTTCCTTCTGAAAAGATCCCTTTGTCCCCAAGGATAAGCCTTTGATGAACCAAACAACAGTTTTCATCCCCCAGTTACAGCAAGGTAATGGAGTGGGGGGACCTCATGTGTCAAGAATGATGGTGACAGCACATGAGAGAGAAGCTAAACTCTAGGGTCCACCACGGGTCCTTCCTTCAAGGTGACTCCTCCTGGAATGTCACATAAACAGGGTTGGTGATCTTCATTCTACTGCAGGGGACCACTTGCCTCTAGAAGAGGGGGAAAGGATGCTGGTGACAAGGCTCCTGGCTCCTGCTCCCTAGTGCCCAGCAGCACTCGGGGTCAACACAAGACCCAGGCAGGACGTAAGTTCACATGATAATGTGAACAGGGGTGTGAGAGGAGTGAGCATAGCATTTAAGAATATACCAAAGTACGGATGCAAGTAACTTCATTTTTTTGAAGACAAAAATCTCCACCTGCTGATCCAGGCCTCCAAATCCCCCAGGAAAAAGCCTCAGTCCCAGGGAGGGCCACATCTCTCCATGAGTCCCTAGCTCACTGCACTCAGTAGAGTTCAAGAACCCCCACCTCTAGCAGACTCCCCACTTCCTCGTGTTTCAATAACTTTAGTATGGTTTATAAATGTGCCACATTCACTGATTTTAAAATAAGAGAATTACCCTATTGGAGCTAATCTAATCTAACCACACAAGTTCTTTCTATTGCTGGTCTGGCTTCAGGCTCTCACTATGTAGTTCAGGCTGGCCTTGAACTCACTACATAACCCAAGCTGAACCTCACATGGTCTGTGCTGTGATCCTCCTGCCTCAGCCCCCTAAATGTTGGAATTACAGTCACATGCCACCACCACCAGCTTTCACAGGAGTTCTTGAAAAGCAGAGTCTTCTCTAGCTGGTGGCCGAGGTCAGAGAGCGACTGCTCCTGCTGGACAAAGTCACTCTGAAAACTGTATGTGGGGCAGCATGACAAGGAAGCAATTCTGCCAAAAGCCAGTGAGCTGGGTGGAGAAGCCCTGCCTCAAGTGAGAGCAATCTTATTTCAGCTGGGTGAAGCCTCAACAGGCGGCTCAGTCAGCCTGAGTCTGACCCAAGGAATGGATAATGATAAATGTGCAGTGCTTTGTAGCTGCTGAGCTCATGGCAATCTGTTACAGCAGCACTGAAAACGACCATGCACACCCCTGTGTCATCGCTGTTCGTCTGAGTCCAGCAGTCCCCGAGGTCCCTTGGGCCTCCTGTCCCAGCTCATCCCATAGGCAACACCACCCCTCAGCCCAGCTTCCCCCCTTCTGCCCCAGGGGCATACCTGGCCCTGCGCTTGCGCACCCTGCGCTCATGTTCTGCCTCTTCATAGTAGTATTCATTGTGGCTGTTGTCCCGCCGCCGGGCGGCTGCTGCAATCACAGCCCGAGACTGGCCTGTGGAGTTGTTAGTGCTGTTTTCTGCACAGGATCAGGATAAGAGGACATGGTCACATCAGGGTACGGCCCAGAGCTCAAGAGACAGAATCCGACATGTCCAGAAGGAAACTGTCCCCCCACCCGACAATACCTCCCATTCCCAGCCCTCCTGGCCACCTCTGGGAGAGGCTGCAGGAAAGCGACCAGGAAGGCACTGTAAGGGCAAGGGGTCCTGCACACGGTCCTCCCAGGTTCAGAAGGTTCTCGGCTCAGAGAGCCCAAGGGCTCCAACCAGGGCTGATGAGCAGAACAGAGGAGCCAGATCGGGGACACGCCATAGCTTAAAGGGACAGCAAATTGAATCAGCAGCTAAGGCCAGCCACCTGAAGTCAAGGGAAATGACAGAACAGAGGGGGCTGGGTCATAGGCTGGAGAAAGGAAAAGCAAGGGAAGAAGGGTGAGAGAGAAAAAGCAATGAAGGCACTTGGATCCTGCTTGGGAAGAGGCTGGGAGGGGTGGAGGAGCAGGGCCGCTCACCCTCTCCAAGAGAGTACACCTTGAAGCCAGACACTTTCTTGGCCAGCACGGACTTGGGCAGGTTGAGGAGGGCAGGGTTGTAGACAGGGAAGTCATGGTAATACTTCTCCAGGATCCACACTGCCACGCGCTGGATGCTGTGGGGGAGACGGCCAGGAGGGGGAGGGAGAAGGGACAGACAAGGGGTACAGGGAAAGGGACACATCAGGGCAGGTCGGCAGGGCAGGAGAGGACACACGACAGGGACAAGCTGCTTCCGGGAAGCCTGGCTCAAGCCTGGTGTCTACTTACCAGGCTCCCAACCTTTCCTGGAGCAGGCCTGCTATTCTTTCCCTGCCATACTGAAGCCCAGGGAAAGAGGGCAGTGGGCCTGGGTCCCCAGCCAAGGGTCCCCTCATCACCCTTCAGCATCCTCCCAAGATTTGTGACAAGACCAAAGAAGTGTTACCGATACTCTGGATACTCAGAAACCCTCTCCAGGGGAGAAAAAGGGTCCCTGTTCACAAGTGCAGTAGGAGATGACATTCTCCCACCTCTTCTCATATCTCCTCCTCTAGGGACACCCTGCCCTGGCCAGGTTGGTTTAATGACCATTCATTGTCCATGCCCCAAATCTCTCTCCCCTTTGGTCCTTCCTCCTCTAAGCTCCTGATCTCTAATTTCGTGGTTCACTCTCACCAGCATCTTGCCCCAAAACACTACAAATGCTTTCCCATTAAGCAGCAAATGTCGGAAACCTGCTATGTGCAGAGCACTTAACTCCTGCCAGCCCATCACCTCAGACCCCGATCCCACCCTCCCCTACTTCTCCACGGCGCACCTCCGTCCAGCTCCGAGGAACTGTACCTGAGATGGCCCACATTGTAGAAGCGGCTGGCCCCATCTGTGGAGCGCACAACCTTGAGTGTGAACTGAGGCTGGAGTTGGCGCAGTTCTAGCAGGACCACGGCCAGGTAATGCACAAAGAGCAGGGCATCCACCAGTGACACTGCAAACTGCACAACACCCTGGTAGCTGCGCTCACGGGCATCCAGGATGCGTACGCCGTAGAAGAGCCAGTAGGAGACGACAAGGAGGAACACGAGCACCATGAGCAGGGCGCGCAGCACGAAGACGCGGGGCAGCGAGGCCTTGGGCCGGCGGAAGAACAGAGCCCAGCTGCCCAGCAGTAGGATGAGCAGCTTGAAGGCCACCGAGATGAAGAGGCCTTCACAGGCTGTCCCGCACGGCTCCAGCTCATCCCGCCACAGCAGCGGGGGCAGCAGCAGGAAAGCCAGCGGTGTGAGGAAAGACAGCAGGGCCAGAGTGGCCCCTGCTGCCACACCCAGGTGACGGGAGCAGTCCAGTGGGACACTGTCCTCCATATCCTTGGCGATGCGTGTGAGGTCATCATGGGAGATGCTGTGCTCCGAGGTGCCCGTAACTACCGTTGTTGTTTCCCCCCAGTTGTCATCCTATAGGTAGGAGGGGTCCACAGCGAGGGAGACGGGAGAGGAAGGAGAGGAGAAGAAAAGGGAAGGGGGAAGGAGGAGCAGAAAGACAGAGGAAGAAATAGGAAAGGACAAGCAGAGAGAAAAGAGTAATCAACAACCATGCAACCAGCAAAATATTTACTGAGCTCCACTGTGTCCCAGCCAGAGCCTCAGCCCTGAAGGAGGAGCTGTCCACCAGTCACTGAGCACGGGGCGAGGAAAACGCTGCGTGCACAGACAGCAAAGACCCTTGGGACAGAGGGCACAGGACAAGCGCCAAGGGAGCTGCTCAGGCAGTGACAGGAATCCTGGGACAGACTCACCAGGCAAAACAGGCAGGCTTCGGGCAACAAACGGACCTGAGCTGACCCTAGGCGGGAGGTGACATGAACAAGCTTGGCTGAATTAGTGGCTCCCAACCCCAGCTGCACACATTAGAATCACCCAGGGAGTCGGAAAGGATGCCAATTACAGCAGAGAGAGAGATCTGGTTGTCAATCTTTTTGAAAAATATCTCCCCAGATGATTCTAATTTCATCCAAGACTGATAATCTTTGGATTAAATGATCTCTAGGGGCTGGCTACCAGAAATGTGTTCTGCGGGTTAGTGTAGACAGCACCTGGGCACTGGTTAGACGTGCAGACCGCAGACCCACCCCACATTCTAACAATGAATCGCTCCAACGTTCGAAAGTTCTAGGAGGAGCGCAGCACTCTCTGATTTCAGCAGGAGCTAGGAGGGGAGCCCTTAGGGTGAGGATGTATCAACTGAGGCTCCCGGGGGATGGTGAGAGCTGGGCGCTCAGGTGTAGGAGCAGAGCACAGCATGCCAAGGAAGGTGAGGCTGAGGGCAATGCCTGGCTAAGCAATAAGCATCTATCTTCCAGGCACCAGGAGCACTCACTGATTTCTGATTAAGGGAGTGACCTGACAAAAGCCGCACAGAGAAGAGGACACCACAAGGAGAGGCGAATGGACAGAGGAGGGCAAGGGGGACACAGTGCAGGCTCAGGGTCATGGTGGATTTCTGTGAAGCCCGCACTGCTGGGCCATCTGAATGCCCACAGCACAGAGGTCACCTGTTCTTGGAGGCAAGGAGTGGACAGGCTGAGGTGCCCAGGTGCTCTTCACAGTGCTGACTGCTCAAGCTGTTTCTTTGCAGGGACTGGCGGGCATCCACAGAGGAATCCTACGACCACTCTGTCCACACCTTCCCTTCCTAGACAGCCTGAACAAATGTCCTATCCTGACCCGCAGGGAACAAGGACTATGGAACTGGGACACTGATGTGTGGAGGCAGGACACAGCCTGGCAGGGTCAGTGATCAGGGAGGTTAGGAATTTCCTCTCCAAGCATGGGAGAAAGTCCAATCTGAGTATATAGAAAGTAGATGTGCTAGCCACTTTTGGATTAAGAGACAGGGTTTCCCCCTCACCATATGAGTCCAGGACCCACTGCCCTCTCAAGGGTCAAGGTCTCAAGAACTTCATCCCAACAAAAGGTGAGCTGACAGCAACTTAGGGTCACTTCAAGAACCCATAAGGCCAGGTCACAGGGAAAGGGACTAGAAAAAGGAAAGAGCAGTTCCCTCCAGACCTAAGAACTCACAGTGGCAGTCATGGGGATTTCTCCTGAGGAATAAGGAGATGGTTCTCCAGCCCCCTAAGATGCTCCCAAGAAGAAAGAAAGGAGGAATGAGGCTTGGGCCACCACAGTGTCATCTCAAATCTTGAGCCTCCCATATTCCAGGACTATGTTCTGCGCATTATCCTCCCACCAGAGAAACAGCACAGGCCACAGAGGTTAGGACAAAAGCAACCTGCTCACTGTCTTGGGAAACTTTCTTCCAGGGTCCCTCCTCCATCTACCCCCCATTTCGGCTTCCCACCCCCATTTCTCCTCTTCTACACTCTCACACCTCCTCTCCCTAGAGCCCTGGTGATGTTGTTCCACAGGCTGACACCAGAGGGCAAAGGAGTGTCCACACCTGACACGGGACAACTCCCAAGCTGTTCACACCCCAGACCTCACCCACCACCATGGCCCTCCTACTCTGGATCCCCAGTCACCCCACCTCTAGAGGGAAGGAAGGAGAGGCTGTTGCCTCCCAAAGCAGCCCCACTGACATCCTCTGAATTCCACAACAAAGCCCTACCTTGGGATGCTAAGCCAAAGGAGGTATAACCAGACATCCTCTCCATGTGGCCTCATCCAAGGAGTCCAGATTTTTAAGCCCTTCTCCTCCTGGCCCTTCTTGACTGCCTCCCACTCCTCTAAAGGATATTCTGGAAATGCCCACATGCACCACCTCATCCCACTGATGCTCACCCTCTCATCCCCTCGAGTGGACTCATTATCTAGCAAGGGCTCTCCTGGAGCCTGGATTGTCACTGACTTGTCTCCACGGCTCCCATCTCGGCTCTTCGAGCGGTGTCGGTCCCGGCGGTCCCTGCAGCAAGAAGCCAGAGCAACAGCACACTGTCAAGGGAAGGGTTGGGGTCTTTTCAGCAGCCCTCCCTCCATCTGCATCACTCCCACACACATACACACCTGTGCTTGCGGGAGCTGCGGGAGTGGCCCGACTTGTAGGAATAGCCCGAGTACTGGGACTCGGTGTCCATGGCGTCTGAACGCCGTGCCTTGTAACGCTCCAGGGCCGCAGGCTGGGGCCTCTTGGGGGGCCCCACAGCCACCTCCTTCAGCACCGGCTTCTTCAGGCCAAGAGGCACCTTCAGGAAGTCAACCGTCACCCTGAGGGACTCTATTTTGCTGGACGAGTGGGCTTGTTTCAGAGAAAAATCAAGCGACGCTCCTAAGGGGAAGAAGCAGTTGGCTAGAGGAAGCTGAGTCCCCAGTGGTTCGGGGCAGAGGAAGAGCACCCCCAAGGTACCCCCAGGGGCTCAGGTAGGCAGCGCCACTCCTGTGGATAGGTCACCTATGGTTCCAGCTCAGTTCAGTGGGCTCAGCTCCAACTGCCCTGCGTCTAGAAAGAGCCCCCAGCCCTACTGCAGTCAGGACTCAGGCACAGGGGCAGATGCAGCAACAACCCCACGGCAGGAAGGCCAACACTATGGTTTAGATCTCAAATGTCCTCAAGGGGAAGAGGAAATAAAAATGATTAAGATGAGATATGTATGTATACTAAATTCCCCGAGATGAATGTACTTATTATGTACTGAAAACATACCAATAAAACGAACTAAATAGATTTTTTTAAAAATAAAAGATCGAAAAGAATGGCTTCTGCTTTCATTGTTTAATCAATTTTTCATGCCTATATCTTGTAATCTGAGCAACTCTGTTGAAAATAACAGTAGGCAGTGCATTAGCCATTGTTAACCTATTATTTTGTTTTGAAATTTTGTATCATCGTTTTTATTCTTTTTGCTTTCTAAAATTAGTTAAAATAAATAAATAAAAGAAAATGGCCCCCTAAGAGTCTCACAGAGGTGGGACTTTTGGATGGTGACTGGGTCATGGAGGCACTATCTCACCCATGGATTAATAACCACTGATGAGTTCATAGGAGAACGTGCTGTTAGGAGGTGGGTCCTTGTTGGAGGTAGCCTTGAGGGGTGTGACCTGGAAGGGTATATTCCTGTGCTCAGCTCCTCCCTTCTCTGCTTCCAGCAGCTTTCCACCACTGGACCCACCACCATGCTATTTCTGCCCTGGAGCTGATCAACTATCAATGAATCCATGGAATCCATGAGCCAAAATAAACCTCTCCTCCTTTTTGTTCCAGCAACAGGAAAGCTAACTAATACAATCACCCTGAAACTCCTGGTAGGGAAAACCAGGGCAGTGGTTTCCTGTTTTCAGCCAGGGGAAAAATGAGGCTCAGCGATTGCTGGTTCTGGCCAGGTTGAGACCAGTGGAGACCTCAGACAGCACAAAGCAGCTGGCTCCTGGCTAGGGTCTCCTGCAGGCCTCTGCTCTACCCACACTCATAATTCCTGAGTGTTCCCAGAGGGCACTACCTATGGTTGCTTCTATGGAACCATCTCTCCGACATCTATTACAAACACACCCACTGTCACCAGTGAGGCTAAGCTGGTTGCACTCCTCAAGGCTGTGTGTGTATGTGTGGGGTGTGTGCAGGTACCCACACATATTAGGAGGTGTGGCGAGGGATGAAAATCACTTGTAATATGATGAATTTTTTTCCAAAAGCCTGCAGTCCTGGAATAGGCAAGACACAGGTTTGTCTGACTCCTTATGGGCTGAAGAACAGCCTCTTTCATCTACACTTTACCTTCTAATTCTTCAGGTGAGGGGGCCCCCCAAGTCCACCCATCATCCTTCAGAGCCAAGCTGACCCCACAGAAGCCTCTGACACACAGGATCATCTCCCCTCTACCCTAACCCCACTAACAGTCTTGCTCATGCACTGCGCACACTTACTTCCTATCCTCATTCACTGATTCACCAAGCCTGTTTTAAGCACCTTCTATGAACACACACTACGCTAGGCCCTGGGTACACAGTCCTGTAACAAAGCCTTTGTACAGTCTAGGGAGGAGATGCACACAAAACAAGTAAACAGACAAACATGAATGACCACATCGGAGTGAAGGAAGGAAAAAGACAGGAAATCATGAGAGACAACTCCATGGAACTACTTTAAACTGAGTATTCTGGGGGAGACACGGGAGGGGAAGGGAACACATAAAGAATTAAGATGTGTTATGCACATGGACCAACTTCCCATGATGAATGTAATCATGATGTACTGCAAATACATACTCATAAACATAAAATTTTTAAAATAAAATTTTTAAAATAAAATTTTAAAAATAAAAGAAACAGTTCTGGAAAGTGCCCCTGCACAAATGATAACCGAAAACAGGCCCATGGTAGGAAGGAAAAGCCCAGAGTTGAGGAATCAGACATCAAAAGCAGCAAAGAGTTCTGTGCATTTCAAGAGTGAGAGATGCTGGGCGGCCACAGCTGAGGACGGGAGAGAGCTAGAGGCCAAGTGAAGAGCCAGGTTTTTTTCTACCACAATAGGAAACCTATTTTAGCCACAAAGATCAAGACTGGAACACAGGGAAAGAGGGAAACAGAGAGCTCAGCAAGGATGTCCTGTGGTGATGACTCGGCTGGGGCAGACAGATCTAGGGGAGAGGTGAAAATGGTGATGTTTAAGACAGAGGTTGGTGATAGAATCAGTGAGACCTAAGGAAAGGACTAAAGCCTGGCTGAGGTGAAGGGCAGCATTAGAGTCCCTGGCCTGGTAAAGATGACCATGCCCTAAAGGAAGTGAGGAGGAATGACAGGAAAGCACATTTGGGGAGGAACATGGTGAGTTTTGTTTCCCACTGTGAAGCTCATGGCTCAGAGGCAGTAGGCAGCTGAGCTTGGAAGAAGCTGGACTCAGAAAAATGCGAACTGAGCTACGCATGGTGGCACACGCCTGTAATCCCAGCACTCCAGGAGGCTGAGACATGAAGATTGAAAGGTCAAAGTTAGCCTAGGCAATTTATCAAAGCTTTGTCTCCAAAAAGGATAGGGTGTGGCTTGGTGTGAAGGCCCTGGGTTCAATCCCCATGTCTCATGAAAAATGCGCAGAGCTACCAACATCACCTCAGGAAAGGGTTACATAAGGGACCAAGAATTCCAAAATGCACATGGATCCAAAGGAAAAAGCAGGCTGAGGAGTGCAGAAGGTAAGACCAGATGAGCCCCAGACCTGAAGTGTGGGGCCTCAGGGCAGCCAAGAATGCAAGAGGATTTCAAGGAGGAATACAGTCAACCAGGTCAAACGCTGTAGAGAGGCCAATTATATAAAGAGCTAAGCTGAACTGCCTTGGACAGTTAACTTTTCTCCAACTACTCTAAACCCTCAGCAACCTGAGAATAAGCAGTATGACTGGATTACATTTGCATCCCTTTCCCCTCCTGTGGGCACAGAGTGAGTAAGTGATACCCACCTAGTAAATGAATACCTATGTGATTTATCAGGGCAACTGCAAGTGTACAGTAATAAAACAGATGTGAGATCCATTCATTTATCCTTCTAAAAGAGTTATGTGAAGGCAGACCATGGGTCATGGGTGTTTGTCAATATCCCCATGTCAAAACAACTGTGTGAACGGGCCATGCTTAGGTGATAGGGACATAATATTTCAACCTGACTCAGAACATCTCTCCACAATTTGCTGCAAACAGGACCCACATTTATCCCCATCTGTCGCTCCACCACTCTTCCCCCAAACACCTTCTGCTGGTTGCTCCCCTGTGTAGTTCAAACATCTCACCTGCAGCGCTTTTGATGTGGCTCCAGCCTATTCTCTCTGGTCCTCCTCTTAAAAACTGAAGCTCAAAGACAAGTATATTCCAGAGTGAGAGGGATGATGAAGAAAACGGGAAAGGAGTGGCACAGAGCGCACAGACACTAAACCCCACACCTTCCATCTCCTCACTACCACCTGAATGCCCACATCTGCCAGAGCATCAGCAAAAAGAGACTGGGATTTGCAAGCCATGACCTGAGCTCTCTCTCGACCTTTCCCACGAAAGTAGCTGTGTGATCTCAGGCAAGTTACTTGACTTCTCAGCAGTCTAGGCAGCAGGGTAGGCTCACGGGTAAAACAGAGAAGGTAATCACACCCACTCAGTGGGTTTGCTGAGAGAATCACGGGGGTGAAAGAAGTGCTTTCATAAACTTTGCAGCTAGTAATCAGTTAAGCAATTAAAAAGCTTTAGCTCCAGGAGCTCTCTCACACTCCAGTCCCCAGACACTTCCTCCAAGACTAGGGAAAGAGGTAGTATAAATAAATCTTGCTATTTGCATGACTAAATAAAGAAGCCACACACACACTTGCATGCACGCGCGCACACACACACAGACACACACACACACACACACACACACACACGCAACCTATCCAAAACTATGGCTTCAAACACACTGAGAAGTAAGTCGATGCCACAGATAAATGTCAAGCCAAACGGAGGTACCAGTCCCCTCCAACTCTTTGTTCTGAGCTGCTCAGCCCAGAGCCCTCACCTTCCCCCTAGCTGCTTATTAAAGAACCAACACAAATCCACATCCCTGGCCTGCAACCCCAAGTCACAGTTCCCAAAACACACCAAAACATGCTCCTCTATCCCCTACCAAACATGGGCCAAAAATGAACGCGATTGCTGAGATCCTTGCCTCTTGTCCCCTCCAAATCCCTAGGGAACCAATCTAAGCACTGGTGAGGCTGAGGGGAGGGAAGAATGCGGAGCGAAGGGCAGAAGCCCCCGCCCCAGGACTCCAGGGTTTGGAGGGTCTCCCGGGTGGGCAGTGTTCCCAGGGAAGAGCGGGGGAGGGGAGCACTGGATGAGCTCAACAAGTGGAAATGTCAGAGGGGTGACGAAGTGGGGAGAGAAGCCCAGGCTTGGCGCGAGATGAGCCGCACCGGGCTGGGGGTGTGGGAGGCTGTGAAAAGGGAGCACATCCTCGACTTCTCACCTCACCTCTCACTTCCAAGATACAACACAGGCACTCAGGGCCCTGCTCAAACCAGCCATGGATTATCTGGGGTTAAAAGGAGGCCAGAGAGGGGAGAGGGAGAGAAGAGAGAGCCCAGCACAAAAAGGAGACCCTGCTCCCCTCCAAAGGCCTTTCAGAAATAAAATTAATGGAATGTGTCTCAGTATCATCCCAAGGGGATCGAGGGGAGGGCTAGGGGGGAAAGTGGGGGCTTTTGTCCCTGCTGCCCAGCTTCTCCCACATTGATCACCATGGTAACCAAAGCCCCTGGTTGCCTAGGTGATAGCAGCCAGGCCCTGGAACCCATACCCAGAATCCAAAGCGAGGGA